GCACTTGTAGACAGAAGGAGGTTGTTTGCAGGACAATGAAGATTGCTCTCCAGTCATTTGCAATGCCTGATCCAAAGGACCCATGTCCTTTAGATCTGATCCTAGTTTGAAATGTTAGGATGATGGTCACTTCTATTACGCTGTGTCTCATGGGGTACTGTGACCATTTGATGTCATAGTTCCTGTCTTGTGTGCATGAGGCGATGGTGGCACCCTCACTTTCTGCTGCTTTTATCTCTGATTGTGCATGCACTTAGTCCCCATCCCTCAAGTTTTCATTCATCCTGCCCCTGTGTTTTTTGTAGGACAGTGTGAATGTATGCCTGTCAACTATACAAATGGATCATCATGTATGTCCAAAGTTAATGTAGTAGAGAAGTCTTCGTACTGTAGTGTATATAAACATATTTACATTGGTCGACACCACCTTTATATAGGTATTTCAAAAAATAAATATAAAAAGTAAAGTTAGTCTACGTACCTCTTCACAAGGTTAAGGACGGGGGGAACGTTCAAGGAATGCCAGAATAAATGTGAGCACAGCTACTGCCCAAAGAAGTGTGGGGAGCCTTGCACTCCATGTCAGGTGATCCAAAACTACCCATAATGGTGTGATTTATGTGTGGCAATTGTTGAAAATTCCATTCTGCTTTTCCCCTGTTATCAAGGAATGGTGTACATGGAGATGCCACCAAAGTTGCCCTGTGCAACTTATGTGCACCAAAAAGTGCCATGAAATGTGCAGCCGAGAACCATGCAACCAGCCCTGTCCTAATATAATAAAGAAATGCAAGCACCCATGTATTGGTCTTTGTGGAGAGCCATGCCCCCCCCTATGCAGGATCTGTGATGCAGAAGAACTGACTGAGTTCCAGTTCTATGGGAATGAGACTGCTGAGAATGCTAAGTTTGTTTACCTGTCAGACTGCAAGCACTGTATTGAAGTGGAGGCCATGGACCATCACATGAAGATGGAAATGGAAGAAATTGGGATGAAGAGATGTCCCCGTTGTCACACAGTTATCTGGTCATCAGTACGGTATGGGAACATCATTAGACAGCTTTACTGCAATGTTGCTGATGTGAAGAATAAGGCCTTTGGTGACCCAAAACAAAACCAGGATGACTACTACAAGGCATTTAGAGACTTGAAAAGTGAGTATGAGACTGTTGTGAGTTTTTCTTGTACCAATTTGATAATGCCTATTATTTTGTGATGATATCTCACTAAGTCACTATGGTACCTGCCCAATTAATGGATAATGACACTCTTACTTTTTAAATTTCTGTGGCACCATGCATTTTGTTGATAATGCTGCATTATCTAAATTGTTATTTCATGAGGCCATTTTGACATTGGGTTTCCCAAAAGGATTCAAAGTGGCTGCTATGTGAGTTCCTCTGAACTCCAGAGCATTTATACTCCTAATAAACATATCTGGAGTGAGTCAAGGGCAAATTTCATTTTTGATCGTTGTATGTCTTATTTCTTTAATACTTCATGAAATCCTAATGTGTGCCATAAGTCATTAGAGTGAAAGATGCTCTCTTTTTATTTCATTCTGTCATTCCACAGTTGCTGTAGCAACTGGAGAACCTTGACTTAGTGCTCATGTGCAGCCTTCAGTCTGGGTCAGCTTTCTGGGACTTTTCACAAATGTTGTGGTAGAGGGAGATAACCCCATTGGTATTGTGGCCAGTAGAAATGGCAGATTATTTGGGCTGGTATTCTAGGTTTAGATTCTGACAGTTTTCTCTCCCTACTGTTTCACAGCATTCAATTCAGTGAAGGAAAAAAAGGAAAAATAATGAAGAACCTAACTTATTTGTTCATGTAGCTACTGTCTCTTTCCAGGTGTGGGGTCCTATCACTTGCAACAGGAATTCAAAATACTCAAAGACAGTGCAATTAGGAAGATGGAATATATCAAGAATTTTCATAATCGTCCATTTGCTCCAACAATTGTCAGTCAGGTTGAGGTCTTGTCCTTCAAAAATAAGAAAGAAATCCTAGAAAAGCTGCAGCTCATCATCATCACTGTACCAGTGTACAGTGCCAAAGTTCAGGCTCGGATCATTCATAGAGCAAAGTTGGTGGGTGAGATTTTGAGCTCATATTACCAGAATTTAAATAAAGTTTGTGCTGAATGCATGTTGGCATTTGTGACTCATCTCATGGATATTCTTGTTAGATTGCAAATCATGTGTTGGCTCAAACAAGGGACTTCAATGATATGGAGTTAAAGGCCCTTGCAGGGGAAATTGCACGTCTCAGGCTCTTTGGTGAATACTGGGAGCTTCAGGTGATTACAGTTGCATTCGGTATGCACATGCATCACAGAAAATGAACTAATTGGTCCTGTGTTTTTAGGAAAATGTAGCAACAAAATACCCTGAATCAATGGAACACTTGGAGAAAGCAGGGGTGCTGCTTCTCAGTCAAGAACCATTCACAGATGCCATGAATAAAGAGGCTCAAAAGGAGCTGGATGCTGCATCTCGAAGCAGTGGAGGGTTGGGGATATCCATTGAAGAACGAGTCATGATTCTCAAGGTAATACCTGGTGATGTTGCATATGGTAAGAACTCTAACCAAGAAAAGTTCTCTGCTCCCTTTGCCCACTTGAGCTGATATATTCCTTCATTTTCTTCTCTGATTGTTCTATTCTGCAAGGATCCAAAATGCATGCTGTTGAAAAGCTAAGTGAAGTTGTTTTTCAATGGGGTGTATTTTGTTGTCATAACATGAGACAATCCTGCAAAATGTCAGATGTTATGATGAGAAGAGCAATCTAGGAGAAACATTGTTACTGTACCAGCTCAAATATGCTTGGAGAGCAGGGAGTTTTTCCTTGGAAAGGAATATCAGGGAAATGAGGCTGCTTTGCCATTTAGAGTGACTGGAATGATACTTTGAGAAGATAGAGGGCTCTTTATGAGGAGGAATGGGCATTCTGTTGACCTTAATTTAATAGAGAACTTATTGAGAACATCAAATTTGTGTTCTCCCTGGGAGAAGAGGAGTGGCCAAGAGTATAACCCATCTTCCTCTTTCCAGTATTTCTCTCTAAAACTCATTTTTAATTGCAGTATCTATGCTACTCTAAAAAAATTTAACAACCCTGTGATTTCCCTGAATAAAATGAAATGAAAAATTGATAACACCAACTTTTGTATTTCATGAGGGCTTCTTTGAAAAATAAAAGTTTATTGAAAAGAGTCATGGTCAGTGTGCTAATACACTGCAACTGAAGGTCAAAGACCTAGAAAAGAAAACTGTAATTTGCAGAGAAAATTGTCCTCTCTTTCATGTCTCTAGTAATGAGTAAGACCCCCCCCTGCTTGTAAATACGCTTGACGGCTCAGTCTTCATGCTACTGGTGGTATTCTGGATCTGTTCCTGGTGGATGTTGGCCATTCCTGCAGCAGAGGAGCTTCAAGTTGAAAAGTCTGCATAGGCTGTGGACAGCGGTCAAAGTGGTTGTCCAGTAGCTCCTAATCATGCTGAAGGGCTGCAAGTCCAGTGAATTGGTTGGCCCATTCATTTTCCTGATTTGATTCCATCCCGCAGCAGGAATTAGTTGACCATCTGTGCACAATAAGGCCTGGTATTATTGTCTAGGAGAATACTACCGCCCTAAGTATTGAGGGTTGCTATACTTTTTGCAAGTAGTATATATGCAGTATTTGAGTGGATTGTTGGAGGTGAGGAGGGGTAGGGAGTGGAGTGAATTTTTTGTGGGATGAAGTTGCTTGGTATCAAGTTATAAAGGGCTAGTTCATAGTATGTGAATGACAATTGTCCTTTCTTTGTTCATTCTATCAGATCACACCTTACAATTTGTTTCCTTCAACTGTGACTCATGGAAAATGACTCTATTTATGCTGGCCTTTGGAGGTGCTGTTGGTGCTGATGGCTTCAATGTTCTTTCAGGCCATAAACCTTGGTCAAGGTCACTGGTACAAGTGTCCAAATGGACATATCTATGCAATTGGGGAATGTGGAGGAGCCATGCAGGAGTCTCGGTGCAATGAATGTGGGGCAAGAATTGGAGGGGAGAGGCATCGGCTAGTCAGTGACAATGCTCATGCTGGAGAAATGGATGGGTCACAGTTCCCTGCATGGTCTGAAATGAACAATCTCCAGAATTTTGATCCTCATCAATTGCAGTAAAGTCGCTCAGCTATATGTCACATTTGATCTTGGTGAGAGCATTTGATCACTTGAGGAAAAAGCATATTTGATGATTATAGTTGGTACTTGAATGTTCCTTATTGATGGTTTTGAACTGTTTCTCTGTCTCTTTTCATGTTCTATAATCCTCTCTAAAGGAGTCTCCCAAGATTTTTACCCTTTCTGAACATGGAGATCTTCTTTGTGGTAAAACAGTGAATGGTAAACTGGTGGTAATCTTTCGGGGTGGATTTATGGACTACCAAACATTTAACCATGAGCTATACTCCCAGCAAACAAGGGTATGTTGGACCAATGTTGTATCAACGTTCTGAACTTTTATTCAATGTTGATTCAATGTTATGTGTTTCAAATTGTTGGCTGGGCTGTTTGCAATACCATAGGTAGATCAATGTAAGCTCTACTGCAGGGTAATAAATTTAGATGCAAATCTCATGGAACTTTGATCTTTTTTTCCATTTTTTTTTGAGTTGGGTGTTTAAGGCGTGTGTTTTGCTTTCCTCACTTTCTCCATTTTGAGTCTTTTATTCACTGCAGGCAATGAGATTTCCCAGTTCCAAAGAATGGCAATTATGTTGTCCTCAATTAGACACTAGGGTGTCATATAACCATGTGAAGTCACCAGCAACATGGAACAGGTGCAAATGTTGATGGGCTTAGAAAAACACCTCTTGACACTTGCTTAAATGGCTGAGTTCCTCCCAGTGCTGTCAATGGTCTTTTTTAAGGGTGGGAACACATTTTGGTCGCAAAAATGGGTATCCTTACCTATAAACCCACATCTTGCTCAATTTCTCACATGGGCATGGAGTCATATTGATCTCAACTGCATCTTTTCTCACTTTCTTCAGTGAAGAGTTGTGCCCTATAGTTGCCATTTGGAAATGAAGTTTTTTTTCTGAGTGCAGAGAGTGCCAACATTTCATTCCTTTGTCTTGCTCAGTACTTCATCTGTATGTCAATCATGGCAAGGTTCAGCAGACAAATATGGGGGAAATACAAAGTTCTGTTTTCCATTCATGATATTTGTCCATTCCTGGCATTGCCCTCTGGTGTTGAAGTCGCTGACTCTCGAAAACTCTATCTGTAAGTGGTCACGATCATTGGAGCATAATCGTATTGCACGGCACTTATTCCCCATCAATCCCACCCAAAAGTACCAAGACTGCTTACGGCAACTGTTCTCAAACTGTGGGTCGCGACACCCCTGGGGGTCGCAATGGCGTCCCAGTGAGATTGGAGATAATTAAGAAACTTCTCTTTCACAAATTTCATGAAGCCAGTCGAGCCGTGTTTTCCGAGGAATTTTTTCCTGTGACAGCGAAAAGAAACTCCATTTGAGGAGCAGGTCATTAGGAGCATAGTCGAAACTCAGGCGAAAGTAGAGCCACTGCTGCTCTAATAATACGTAGAGACCGCTGTCGAAACGGGAATTAAGCGAGGACCCCCGCTCACACTCAGACCCGTTTCGACAGCGGCTTCCACCTCACACACCCACAATCAGTCCACTAACACCTGGGTCCATCGCGATTGGACGATTAACCACGATTTTCACGATTAACACATTTCGCGATGTGTTTCGCATGTAGGGATGGGTTATTGACCGGTCAATATTATGGTCAGTAAGGCCAACTTTTATTTTGCTTTTTTTCCTGCCCAGTTTGTGCTCCATTTGTATATCATGATTCGGAAGCTGACAGGTCAACGCGGTCATTTATGACGATTTACGGACAATTATGGTCAAGGAACCCAACAAGAGGTTAGGCATTACGGCTGTATATGATCATAAATGACCATGTTGGCCGGTCAACATCCCATCGCTCAGATAGACCTTACCTTACAGATTCCACGAGTTGGAACATTAAACAGTTATCAGTCGTGTTTCAGAGATAAATTCTTTGACTTAATTAGCTCCATAAGTACTCTGAATAACGAGGAATGCGACACAGTGTCCAAAAACTGAGTTTTCTGGGTTTTGGTATAGGTATTCATTCCTGTTCTTATCAGGAAAAAACAAGCCTCTGCCTTGCTCAAGGAAATTCTTCATAGCTGGATTAATTTTTTTAGGCACAGGTCTAGGCATAGTCCACGTAAGTTTACTTGTCCATTCATCGCAGACTATGAGAATAAATTGATGCTCTGACGCAGACTATCGGCCTTGATAGACCTTGGATTAGCCTTCTCGGAGGCAACTTTACACTTTTTTTCCCCCCCCCC